GCCGCCACCGCCGCCGACCCGCCCGCTCTTCCCCGCGTGGACGCTGGCCCACACTCTCCAGGGTTCCCTCCACCTGCCTGGAGCCACCCTGGCAGTGCCAGTGTGGGGCACGGGGGCGAATACGTGGTGACTTGAGTGCACGCAAGGAGCCTGGAGTGAAGCACTCTGGGCTGACGGAGACCCTCAGGTAGTTAGAGCTGATACCAGCGCACGCTGAGTCCAAAGTACACACCCATTCCTCATCACAATGATCCTACACGCCGGGTGGCACTCCCGCAGAGCCACCGATGATGCCCAGGACCAAGGACAGAAGGCCTGGACCAAGAGAGCATGAAAGGCCAAGTGCGCCCTGAGCTCGCTGGGTAACCAGATCTGCCTATCCAGTGAGGGCTGCACCAAGAAAGAGGCTGACCTTGCTGTGCTCTTTTCTGAAACCTTAGATCCTAGACCACAAGCCAGACAGATAATGCCAACATCAAGGTAGGATCAAGGTAGTTTCAGAAGCCCTAGGAAAGAGATCTCAAGGTTATGCTGGTTTAGACAGCCCTCTGGCAAGGAGGAAATCCATGAAGACAGGAAGTGGACGTGGTCGTGGACAGCACTATCTAGGAAACCTCTGCATAGGCCCTGCAAGGTGCCATAGATCAAGAGGAACCTCAGGATCCTACCTTATTTACTCACCTCTCTGCACACCTCCCTCATCGCCATTCCTACTGTAGTTCCCCAAGGGCACCCACCAAGGATGACCTGCTAGAGGAGTCCATGGTTTTTGACCCACCCACCATCATGTCCCTTCTTCAGTTCAACTTTTCCCTCCAACCAGCAACTTTTCCCCTTTACTCTCCCTCCTATCCAATACCTCAGAACCTTCCTACTAGGTAGAAATGATTGACACCAGCATCAATGTCTACACCATCCTATATCAACGTTGCAAACTGGAGAGACGTGGAAGTACCCTTCAGGATGACCATAGCCCCGAGGGCAGCTCACATATGTGGGTCAGGCTGGGCTCACCCCCACAGGACCTCACTGAAACTTCACGCTGGCTGATGAAGAGGAAATGAATCAAGTCGCAGTGGGAGGCGAGCAGACATTTGAGTCTTTGGCTAAAGGGTCTCCAGGAGACAGTGTGGAGCCCCGTTAGTCTCTGATTCTCTGCTGAGTACTGTACGGCCCAGAAAGCAGCAAGGATTATCTTATTAGCTTACGTCAAAACACTGATCTGGCTCCTCTCTTCTCAGAAACCCTGGATCCCAGACTCGAGATAAAGCATACAATATCGAGTTAGTTTCAGAAGTCCAGAGAAACTCACAAGATAACTCAATACTGCTGCTTCTTTGACGACATTCTTCCAGAGTTGAGGAAGCCTCAGGGCCTAATGTCTGTCTGGACAGAACAGGGACTCACAGGAGCCTGGCAAGGTGCCTGATGCAAAAATCGAAGGGGATCCCCACCTCATCTGGATAAAGCAGGCCTCACCTTGTCCTGCTTCCAGGGGTCACCTCTAAAATTGCTACATGGGAGCATCATAGGCTGTGCCCAGAGAGTCCCATGAAAAACCCAGTGGTTACTGCAGTAAACGCAGAAGGGAAGATCTTGTCAAGTGTCTGTTTGCCACTGGGCTTTCAGTGTACACCACAAAAACGATAAAAGGGAGAGGAATTGCAAAAACAGCTCTGTCCCCCTTCTCAGTCAGTCATCCCAGTATATATTTTTAACACTATGTGACTCTTCTGCCCCTTGCAGTGTGTGTGTGTGTGTGTGTGTGTGAATATGACTGAGAGCTCCACACCCATTTCCTGATGGATGGGCCAGAAGTCAAAGACTTTTTTTTCAGAGGTGGCAAATAAAATGTGTTTATTATTCTTTATCTCCTGCCTAGCACATTGTGTCATTTATTTTCATTCAGGGAAATGAATGCCATGTGGTATCTGAAGAGTAACAGGGAGCCAAATGGCAGGAAAGAAGTACACAGAAAGTTGGGCCAGCAACAGGCAGGTGAGGGGTTCTACTGGCTCTCCTGCTCTCAGTGGGTCCCCACCTCATCCTGTCCTGCACAGATAAGAGAAAGGCAATTTTAAGGGGCAGTTAGTTACAGCAGAACATCCTTGTCAGGAAGAGCAGGAAGGCAAAATTTGCCCCAGCATGAGGCTAGATGCCAGCTTATTGTATCTCCTTCAAGTCTGAAGAATGGCACGGAGGGACAAGCAGGATCCCTGCACTGTAGGCCTCAAGACTTGTGTCCTCCTCCTGGCTCTGCCACTGCCCCGCATTATCATCTGGGGCAAGCTGCATGCTCTCTCACCTGCCACATTTAACCCTGAGAGTACAGTGATATCCAAAGAAGACACGGTCTGTTGGTGCTTTGAAACTCTAAGGCAAGTGCAATACACATACAAAGGAGTTAACTTTGCTTTTCAGATGAATATACCTTTTCATGCAATGGTGCAATGGACCAAGAGCAGGTCCTCTGCTGTCTTGACTCTTCCCTGTGAATAGACACAGAGGAAAAGGCAGTGGTGTACAATGGTTCAAAGCATGTTTCTGTATTAAGTCCCAGTCCTCTAGCTGTCTCACCTCTGCCAACCCCTGCCAGCTGGTGAGGGGCGGAGAGAGACAGCAGAGGCCAACTAGCTGTTCCCTGCTGGTAATGACCTCTGAGTCAGCCACTCCTCCCCTAGCCTGCTAGTAAAACTGGGCAGGTCACTGCCTGGCCCCATGGCCGCAAGAAAGGGAAGCAAATGGCATTTTGTTTTATAGAGTCCTGCTTCAAACGAGGAGATGGGGAGTAGGATTTGATTTGTTGCCAGATTTGGAGAGAAAAGTATGGACTCATCTCTCATGGATGAATAAAAAGGCTAGATTTAATAGGAGAGAGAAAAAAATTTTAAGTTTTTCTTTACTTAGCTACCACCATTTTATTAGCCTAGGAACAGAGCCGCTATTTAAGTTGATAAAAGCCAGATTTGCTAGTTAAACAAATCACCAGAGCCTGGTGGTGCTATAGACAAAAATTCTCCCTCTAAGTGCTGCCCCTTGACTGGGTCTCCTAGAGTGCACAGGATAAAAACCTCAGGCAGTCTGCAGCTTGAAAACCTACATTGTGGCGCCACCTGCAGGAGAGCAGAAATATCGACATTATCTCAAATCTGCAGAGAATGGGAGGGAAGAGTCTTGCTCTGGCAAAGCTTCCTAACCAGGCCAGACCAGAGCTGCAGGTAAAAGGGTCCGAACTACCCAGTGGCCCATGCTTTCCAGATGTCTCCCATATATAATCCAGAGTTCTTCAATCTGCATCCTCCTTGGAAGTTGCCATTTCAAGGGATCCGTTTGCAACTATGGATTTTCATTTCAAACAAAAGTATTCTTTCCTGAGTTTTTTTTTGGGGGGGTTAAGTACATCTCTAACCAAGAGTTCTGTCTTCAAGACATAGGACCATGTCATAGCAACATAGGACAGAGAAGTGACTCCTTTTGGTGGAGGGTGTGGGGAGGGAACATGCCTGTGTCATCATGATTTCTAACTGGAACTTGACCAGGTGGCTGGATATTCATAGTAGACCCAACTATCCCAGGCTGCACCAGCCTATGGGTATAAGCAAGGAGTCAGACACTAACCTCTGCATCTCAACCCAGCCCCTTTCACTCATCTAAGACTTTGGCCATCACTAACAGCTCCCTGTGTCCTTTCAATTTGTCAGAGACCCCTGTGGCGGCTGTGCTTAGGATCTAATCTAACCATTTTATTCCTCATTGCGTCTACTGCCCCCTTCCGTTTGATGGAAGGAGATCTTGGCATCACCAGCATTGTGGTGTCCTCCTAAGGAGTCCTCCACCTGGCTTTATTACTGCACATGGCCAGCTCTGCAGCTCTGCTGTGGCTTCCTGGGTCACGCTGGGAGTTCTTGCCTAGGCAGGGAAGACCCTATCCCCACCTTGACTACATGCATGCATTATATACGTATACACAAAACACACTGCCGATCAGGGTCCTCTGGGCCCCAAAACATCTCCCATAACCCAAGTCTTTCTCC